AAAACAATTGTAAGGAAGGAACTGAAGAAGTATGGACATAGACACGCAACAGCGACATCATACAATACGAATACTATAACTTGTCAAATTCTTAAAAAAGAAAGAAAAGAAAAGTGAAACACGAGCACAACGTGAACACGACAAATATAAATTTGCATGATACTCACATATAACTTTAATTAATTTATATTTCTATACTAAACATATATAATTATAAGATAATGAATTTGAATATAAAAAAGAAAATTTTATATGATATATAATTTCTAAACTATCTTATTATTATAGTTATGTTTTTATTCGGTATATATTATAAGTTTGTAACATGTGCTTAATGACAGTTTTGTCAACAACTTTTGATATATATTCATAATATTGTTTTGAGGATTATATTTGTTTTATATAAGAAGAAGAGTGGAAGAAGTATTCGTCAAGTGTCCGATGTAGTGCGGTATGTATTGCAAAGTGTCTAAAATAATAAAAAATATTTTTAAATTATGAACACGATGTCAAAATGGACCTAAGCACCAATGCATTTTAAGAAGGGATTATTCTTTAGATTGATTCTTGTTACCATTAATAATAATAATAAAAGACTAAACTCAGACCAAGTGTGGTGGTGTCGAGTGGTAAAGAATCAGGCATTAAGTGCCCTACCCTAGGCTCCTAGCTTTGAATCTCTTCTCTTATTCCATTAACTGCGGGCTTGTTTGGCTGGACTTCATGTAGTCTCAAAACGGGCTTTTAAGCACAGAAAGTCCTTTTCCAATATGCTTCCTAATCGACTTCCCGCATGCTACACTTTTTTAAGTAATAAGTGGGTGTTTGGGAGTGCTTCTCTATTACTGAAAAGCACTTCTATTTTAAAAAATTGCGGTGCAAAGTGTTTGGTGAAAAAAAAGCTCTTAAAGATGGTAAAGGTTAGGTCTAAAAAGTGTGTTTAATTAAAGTTAAGAATCGTAGCTTTTAAAACTGCGTTACAGGTAGAGGTACGTATTTTTAGGTAACTAATTTTGTTTTTTTATGCCTTTATATTTTTTATTAATACAATTTTATCCCTTTTAGGCTTCTACAAACAAATAGCATTGCCTTTTAGGCTTCTACAGACAAATAGCAAGTAATGCGTGGGACTCTGTAACAAACAAAGATCCTAGTTTATTTTGGACTCTTCAGCCGCCTTTCAATCTCAATAGTGCCGATCTGCATCACCATAACTTGTATCGTATCAGATATGATCCCTCCCTATGTGTACATATATATATATATATATATGCATGAAATCAACAACTCAAACTATGAAGTTAGTTTGGATGTGTTCTTTACATGACTAGCCTTTTTTTTTTTTTCTTCTGAATTTTACATGACTTTCATTGTTGAGTTGTATATGTAATATAATTTATATAGTGTCATTTTCTTGGCCAGATTACACTACCTTCTTCAGGTAATTCCCATGCCTATTTTTATTTATTTATGTATTTTTTCTTCTTAAACAACGCAGCTGGTATTCTGATTAATCTTTGGAAAGTTATAATTGCATTGAGTTAGGAGTTTTAATTTACAAAGTGCTCTTTTTTTAAGATTTATTTTTTAATTTGGTTAACTTAGGTAAAATAATTACGTCACTCGACCCCTCTACGAAAACAGATAAATTCATAAATATATGTTAGAACTTGTTTCCACACATAGATAAATTCATCAATATAAATTCATCAATTCGATGGGAGAATTCGTCATGTTATTTTAGTTTGGTACGTTTTGTGTAATGGTTATATTGTAGAGGGTGTTTGTGAAATTGTCACTAATAAAATATTATTCTTTATTTGCTTATTGAAACATTGGACAATTAAATGTTCTTAAGCTCTTCATTCACGCGCTACTTTTTGGACTACGTTATCCAATGAACTTGCGTTACACCTCCTTGTTTGTCTCAAACCTAATTTGAGAAGTGACATCGGGCAAGTTATTCAACCAACCCAGGTGTAGATATAAAAAGGAGCTATTACTTGGTGTAATGGTAAAAGATTAGTCTATCAAATGCAAGAATGTGAGTTATAGTCTAAAGGCAGTAGTCTGCAGTAGTAACTTTCCTCACTTAAAAGGATAGTAGGTGGAGTTCTAAGAGAATCTCTCTAAACATTTCCCACATCAAGTTTCAACTTTCACCAAGTACAAAACATGGATATGGCAATGGGATGGTAAGCTGGAGAACTCGTGCAGCCCCACCTCAATTGGGACAGAGATTTCAAAATCCAATTAATTAGTTCATAGCTATACAGTTTCTCTCATTGAGATATTAAAAGTAATTGAACGCAATGGGGATTCTACATGACGTAACATGTCCTGCTCTGCAATTATCAGGCTGGGTATGTGTATCATAAATGAAATCTACTTCAAAGCTTAGAAGTTCTAGTTCCATAAGATCTCGATGATTGAGTCCTATGTATTTACAACTACAAAATTTTGTATACGACGGCCATCTCCCTGTTCCAGTCCAACAACGAACAGTTCTAGGGGGGAAGGTTAAGTACCCTTCATAAACTTATAAAGAAGTTAATAAAAAACTGAAGGTGGAAAAAATTAGTTATAGAAGTCATACAAAAAAACGCGAGATTAATTATTCTTTACAATTTTCATATTTTACATTAAAGTTTGTCAGATTTTTCGCAAGATTTTTCGTAAGATTCATCTAATATTTTGAGATAATAATGTATATATTTTACATTAAAATTTGTCAATGAGATATTTTAAGATAATAATTTTCATATTTTACATTAAAGTTTGTCAATGAGAAATTTTGTGAATGAGATACTTGAAAAGTATGATTATATGACAGTGAGATATTTTGAGATAATAATTTGAAATTTTTGGTCAAGACACGAGGCCGTTGTGATTACAGTTTTATTTTACTATAATTTTATTTATTTATTTATTTTCTACCTTTTCCACTTCCAGAAAAATATATATATATATATAATTACCAACACACACACATAGACAGAGTTATATAAAAGTGCAATTGTATCTTTTGCCTCCGAGGACTTCTTTGCTTCTTTTATGCTATCTCTAGTCTTATTTACTTGGATTTGGTTAATTTGGAAAACTTGCAACGTTTTAGGCTCACTACGTTTTTTATAAGCTTTGGTCTTCTTCAAGCTAATTCACACACCTATTCTTCTAGAACAACACGACTATATTTTCAAGTATTTGATAAATTTTATATGAATGTTAGATGGAGAGTGACGGAAATTCAAACCAAGTTACCTCAAATGGAAAGTTCTCGAAGGCAATTAGGAATTCTATGGCATATGAGGATTTCATAGATATTTGTGTAGAGGAAATTTGAGTTGGTAATAGGCCAAATAAACATTTTAATAAGGTTGGTTGGAAAAATGTGATAGAAAATGTTTCCAAAAAAATTGGAAGAAGATATGACCAAAAACAACTAAAAAATAAGTGGGATGTTATGAGAAAAGAGTGGCAAATTTGGAACAAGTTGATGAGCCATGAAATGACAAGTAATAAGAATATTAATTGTGGTTAAAGTGTTTAGTTTTATTTTATGAAATGTTATCTATATTACAAAATATTATATTATTAAATTTCATTATTAGATAGCATATGAGCAAATTTGTTTATTTTATTACTAAAGGATCCAAAATCAAATACAAAATAATCATCATTAAAATATGTTTAACTCATTTATATTTTAGTATTCAAAACAAATTCGATATCATAAACAAAATATGTGATATTTAAAAAAATATACAAGTTCATCTTTATAAATCATTGAACTCAATGGAATTTTATAATATTTAATATTAGAGAATTATCATATGTTTAATGTAAGGGTAATATAATAAAATTAGTAATAAAAGTGATTTGAGCAATATTATTACCAAACAATTTTTAAAGTGCTTCAAATATAAAAAGTGCTCTATACAATGTGTACCAAACGCTTAACTGCGTTTTACTGATAGCATTTCTATAACAGCTCTACTATTAAAAGCGCTTTTAACATTCTAACAGCAGTCCCAAATTAGCTCTAAATATAAAATTCCTATATTGTCCATTATTTAATCTATTTCCATTTATGAATTTCATTGCAAACTTTTACCTTTCTATTTCTGTATCATTTTCTTCCTTCTCTATACCCAAAAAAATAAAAAAATAATGCTGAGCAAAATTTCACAGAACTTTACTGAAAAAAATATTGTTAGAAAAACAATTCAACAAAGGAAGAATAAAAGGATTGAAGAGTTGCAGGAAAAAAATACTATTGACTCCTATTTGACTTCAAAGTATGAAGAGTTCCAAGATTTATGAACTCTCATTCAAAATTCAATTCTATGTAGAATTCTAAATAATTTTCTTTCTCTCTCAAATATATATATATATATATATACATACACAATATATATGTATATATAATTTTTTTTTCTTTTTTGAAGGCTACCCGTTTGGCTGTTAAAGTGATTTATAGTTATCAATAAGAATAAAAATGGGATAGTTTTGCTGCCATCTTTTTCAACTTCTATCGTGTAGTCAAGGAAAAAAAATTATATCATGTAGATTGGGTTAAATTTGCATACCCGGATCTTCACTATGTCAATTAATCGTTGTTGCATCATTAGCAATTTCACTCCGTCACTTTAATTATGATTTTTTTTCTTCCCTTATTTGTACATTCCAAATCAACTATTTACTATTATTCATCATTATTCATATTTAAATTATGGTAATAGTTAAAAGAGCTTCAAAAAAATTTACCCACCAAATAACTTTTTTGTGTTAAATTCCTTTCACCAAAATGCAATATTGAAAGCCGATTCAGTAGAAGAATTTTGAAAACTGAAAGTTCCTAAAGAGGGCTAAGTATTAATTCTTACTTTCCTTGCCAGATAAAAAATAAATAAATAAAATTGGACTCGGACGGCGGTTTGAATGTGAGCGATCAACACCCTAGAAAAATCTCCAAAGGGAGACGTGCTCGTGCGCTCGTTTGAATCGCTCTTGGTGCAAGCAAAGTCGAATAAAGAGAGCTACAAAGAACATCTTCGCGCCTTCTCTCTCGCACAGTGTTTGAAATCAGGTCAGACCTCTGAATCCAATTTGTTCCCTGTTCATTATTTGAGATCTATTTCAATGTCCAGGCTTCTATGCTTTCATTTTGATCTATATTTCTTATTTTTTCTCTCTCTATATACACACACGTATGGATGCTTTTTTTTTTTTTTTTTTTTTTTTTTTTTTTTTTGTAACATTGTTTGTGCTAGTCAATTATTGTAATATTGTCCATGTATGATTTGTTAATTTTGATATTTTGTTTCTTTTAGGTGTGTTTGGATAGTATTAGTAATGAGAGAAAAGAAAAGAAAAGAAAGGATAGTATTAGTGAGAAAAGAAAAGAAAAGAAAAGAAATGATAGTAATAATTTCTATTTGTGTTTGGATAGATATGAGAGAAAAGAAAAGAAGTGATAGTTATTTTTATTTGGATAAGATAGAGGAGAGAAAAGAAAAGAAAGGATAATAGACAAATTACTTTTTTACCCTTTCATAACCATGGGACTTGAATGGAATAATAAATCTGTCTATTGATTTGTGGAGGCTAATTTTGGTATTATCAAAATACCACTAAAATCACTATCCTTTCTCTCACTATCTCTCCCTATCTTCTCAATTTTGAGGAGAAAGCAAATAAGAGATAGGGAGGGATAGCTATCCCTCCCTATCTCTCCTTATTCCTCCCTATCCCTCCACTTAAGTTACCCAAACACAAAGTTACACTATCCTCTCTTTTCTTTTCTCTCCCTATCCCTCCAAATCAACCTTACCAAACACACCTTTAATCTTGAAAACAGCCTTAGACTTACCCGATGATGTTGGGCGGAGTCGCTATGTGTCGTTTGTCGATTTAGACGTGTTTTTATGTATAAATATGTACACATTAATTTAAATAGTGGTTTTTGATGACCCAATTACATTCTATTGAAGAAGACCTTTGTGTTTTTTCCCAGGTTTTAGGGCAGTCAGTTCGGCGGCGGCCTGTAGCGTCTACGCCTAGTGTTTGCTCAAATGCTGTAGAAGAGGTACGGATTGATTTAGTTTGTTTCTTGGGAGAATATGATGGAGAGCGTTGTAATAATGTGAATGAGAGAGGTGATGAAACATTACACTAATCCGCTTATCTCAAAGTAATCATCTAGAATTGAAAGTTCAGTAGCAAAATTTGAATCTGATTTATATTCAGTTGATGTTCGAATGAGTTTATGATTATAATAAACTACTATTCAATAACTACAAAAAGAAGAAATCTGGATTGGTAAAGTTGGGCATCTAGTTATATGCTTTGATCTCTTCAGTTTTTCGGGTTTATTAAACTGATAAGAAGAGATATTACCCTTGATCTTAGCCCAAAGGCAGAGAAAGATATCTTTTTACTTTTTCCTGTTTAATTGCTGAGAAAACTGAGGAATAAAATTGTAAATGAAATTTTAAGTCATATGCTTTCTGCTATGTTTGTTTCCAACAAATAAGGAAGTTGTTTGGACCAAGCAAATGGTTAAATTATGGAATGCTGAACAGAAAATTATTATTTTATTTTGTCCGGGAAAATGAAAAATTTAAGACCAAATATTACAGTTTGTTGTGATTTCCAACCTCTTATTGCCAAGCAATTAAGGAATTATTGTATATATATATTTCGAATCTATGATTTCGCAAAGTCAGTTATAGTAATCCCTAATTTTAGTTTATAGTTCTGAATTTCTGTACCATCCTTATTGGAAAAATGTTCTTTACCAATCATAGACATATGCTATGGTAAATGGTAACTTCTAATTGGTTATTATCATTTTCAGAGTCCAATTATCCTATTATTATTATTATTATTATTATTTTTTATTATTTATTTTTTATAAGTAAAATTCATTAAAGGTGCTCAAAAGGGGAGCACTCCCAAAGAACAAAAGGCGCCCAAGGCAACACTACAATTTCAAGCTGTCTACAAAATCCAAAAGAATATCCAAAGATATACAATTTTGCCCATTGACCCAAAAAAAGAGAGAAGACAAGGTTTATTGAATTTTTTATTTTTTTTTCATAATTGGTGTTGTATAAACAGAAAACAAAAAGGAATTACAGGCGCATAGAGGGCATACCCTCAGTCAAAAAGAAAAGAAATAAGCAAACAAAGAGAATGCCCATTTCCAATACACACAAATGGAAAGCAGGAGGATGTTACAAAGGTAAATCAGAAAGCTTTAATTTGTGTACATCAAGGACCTCCAAGAATAATCATCTAGCAACTGCATCAGGAGATCTAGCCTCAACCCCATGCAACATTGCATTCCTTTCTTGCCATATGCCCCACAAAGCAGCCATAAAAATGCTGCTACACAGCCTTGAATTGTGAGGGTTCTGCCTACACCAAGTAAACCAATCCCAAAATTGAATATCATCATCTATTGGAGAATCAGTCCACCACAACACCTCCTAAAACCACTTCCATATACCCCTTGCAAATGGACACGCGAGGAATAAATGATCCCTGGTATCCAAGGTATATTGAATTTTAGAGACCAAATAGGGGACTCCTCGCCCTCAAAGGATCTCCTGTTCCTTTCATGCCACAAACCCCACCATAAACAAAGGGGAGTGACCCTCCAAGCGTCTCTGACTTGGTTCTCCACTGCACACCCTTTCCAAGCGTCAAACATATCCACTGTGGACTCTGAAACAACCCAATCCACAAAAAAAATGACCAAGAACATAGACCAAACATCCCTTGCCACCTGGCAGTGCAACAAAAGATGATTCACAGATTCTCCTGACTTCTTGCACATGCAATACCTATTCAACATGACTTGACGTCTTCTTCTGAGGTTATCGAGAGTGAGAATGCTTCCAAGGGCAACGGCCCAAGCGAAGAAAACCATCTTCAATGGGCCTTTAGTCTTCCAAATAGTTTTCCAAGGGAAGGTGGGGCTTGAAGACTGCATGAGGCTTTGGTAAAAGGACCTAACCTTAAACACCCCTCTCGGGATTTCCTTCCACACCATAATGTGCATACCTACTCCCTCCAGCACCTGCCTATAGATCAAACTCAGGAAATTTGAGTCCTCCAAAAGCTCCCAATCATTAAAATCTCTACAAAACTGCACATCCTAGGCCACCCTCCCATTATCAAGCTGATAATGCTCAGTAACTACAACATGCTTATTCATAGAGATCTTGAAAAGACAAGGAAACCTACGAGCCAAAGCAAAGTCCCACACCAATTGTCCTCCCTAAAGCTGACATTTCTTCCACTTCGAACTCTGAACTGTATCCGTTTAGAGAACTCATCCCATCCTTTTCGGATAAATTTCCATGAACCCACACCCGCTGGCGACCTCACCTCCTTAGAAGACCACCCTTCATAATCTTCCCCATACTGGCATGCATAGTGTTATTAAAGGCTCAAGGTGCTAGAGGTCCTTTGGAGCCTAGGCGCGAGGTGCACGACGTGCGCCTAAGTGAAGTGAGGCGCACAATTGAAATTTAAACTACCATAATAACATTCATATCTCACAAGTCATATCAATAGTCTAAAAATTAATATTAAATATAAAAAGTAAATCCATCAACTATATAAGCATTCAAGAACCATAACACACAACACAAATTTGTTTTTCTTGAAAGGCAAAACAGAGTACAAAAAGAAATAAATCTATTAAAAAAAAACTGTTAACAAGAAAAGAAAAAAAAAATAGAGCAAAAAAAAAAGGACGCAGAGACAAAAGAAGTAGATGAGGACAGAGAAGTAGATGAGAGGAGAGAGAAAGTGTTAAAGAAGAAAAAGGAGAAAAAAATAGAGCCAAAAAAAAAAAAGAAAAAGAAAGAGAGAAGAGAACTACACTGAGAGAAAGAAGTAAACAAAGATGAGAAGAGAGGAGTAGAGGAGAAGTAGAGGAGGAGAGAGAAGAAGAAGAAAGAACTGACGTGGTTTCGTCATTCGTCTCTGCCACTAGGGCTTCATCATTCCTCTCACAGTCTTGCTCCTTCTATGTTCGGTCTTAGACTTTCTTATTTTTTTATTCTTTCGAACAAAAGATCCTTCTCTGATATGCTTAGGCTTTCTTATTTGTTTATTAAGTTGCAAAAGTACCCTTTTTTGCTTAAGAGATAGAACAATCATTAAAACAAAAAAACAAAAAATAGCGAGGCACGCCTCAATAAATAGGGCGCGCACAGGTGTGGAGTTAGTTCTTTTCTTATCTCTTTCCTGGGTTTGCCTTTGGGGGTTTCTTCGAGGATTGTAAGTGCTTGGGATCCGGTGGTGGAGAGGGTGGAGAGGAGGCTTGCGGGGTGGAAGAAGTAATATTTATCAAAAGGGGGGAGGGTTACCTTGTTGAAAAGCACTTTGTCGAGCATTCCCAGACTCCAGAGGAACTTTTTATGGGGAGGTTTGGGGTATGAATTTAAGTATCATCTGGTTTCGTTGGGAGCAGGTTTGTAAGCTTGTTAAGTTAGGAGGAATTAGGATTAGGCAACTGTTGTCTTTTAACAGGGCCTTGTTAGATAAGTGGTTGTGGAGGTTTGGTGTGGAGCGAGATAGATTGTGGAGGAGGGTGATATTGCGTTGCTTTGGGGAGGAGGGGGGGTTGGTGTTCGGCTGTGTTGTCTGTGCTTGGAGGTGTCGGTGTTTGGAAAGACATTTGGAAGGGATTGAATGAGTTTTCTAAGCATATCAGATTCAGAGTTCATGATGGTAGGGAGATTCGGTTTTAGGAGGAAGTGTGGTGTGGAGACCGCACGTTAGCATGTTCTTTCCCTAAACTGTTTAGGATTGCTGTGGATAGGTATGCCTTGGTGGCTGACTGATATCGTCTTGATAGCGGGAGACCGGTTTGGGATGTGCTATTTCAGCGATCTTTTCAGGATTGGGAGATGGATGATGTGTTTGGTTTTTTAGAGTTGTTGTATAGCCGGGTGATCCGGGGAGGAGGTAGGGATTCTCTATAGTTTGGATTTCTTCTGTTAGGGGAATGTTTAGAGTGAGACCTTTTTTCGGATGCATTGTGGACTCGGATGGGGTGGTATTCTCGTG